CCCGCCCTTCTCCCCCACAGCGAGCCGGGGTTGGCTGCCTGCGCTCCCTTTTCCGCCCGCAGTCTTACCGAAGCTGGAGCACCCTCTCCTTCCAAAGACACCCTTCCGTGGGCGCGCGCAGCCCGGCGCTCCCGGGTGCCGCGCTCGGCTGGCTGCGTTTGGAGAGCGTTGTCTCGCTCCTCTTGCCACCCAGCGGAGCCCACTCTCCTTCGGGTAGCTCGGCCTCGGCCACCAGTGTGAACAAAATGGTGATTCCTTCCGTAAATGCCTGGTTGGTGGGTGGTTTCGATGAGCATCTTAAATACCAGTCTTCTGCCAGTAGTACAAATAAAAAAGCTAACTTAGAGATGACCATCAGCTTCACTTTTCTCTTTCTGCTTCCTCCTCTGTGAACTGAAATATGTTTAGGGAGCACCTAGAGACACAGAAACATGGAGAGACAGGAAGTCTGAGGTGTATATTGAAGCTGCTGTGAAAGAAGTTCATGATTTCACTGTAAATGAAAGTGAATGCCCAGTGTGTGATGGACGTACTTTTCAGTTTTCCTGTTGAGCAGAAGTTTGTTAGTGGTTTTCTGGTATGCTGATGATCATATCTACAAATATAAAGTGCAGAAGATTATGTTGAGATCTAAAATTTGTAAAGCAAATTCATATTATCTTGTTTTAAAACAAAACGAAGGCTGAGACTGCAGCCCAGAGATTTGAGGATAGTACCATGAGACTAATGGAGTTGTCTCAAAATGAAGTCTTCAGTAAAGTTCAGAACTTTTTATTGTAGAGTATTCCAGTGTTGCATCTTCCCCTTAAAGACTGTTGCAGTGCTTGCTCCTTATTAAGATAAATAAGCTTGTAATACCTTTTCGAAGATTACTGAGTTACGTTCTCAGATTTTATATGCATTCTAACATACTATTTTTTTCCTAGTAACTTGCACTGAAAAGCAAAGAAAGAATAAAACTAAATCCCGCCAAAGCATGTAAAAATTAAATAGGCAAAGATATGTTTGTTCTAAGTGCAAATTATGTAAGTACAAAGCAGAGATGGGATAACAGAAAGCTAAAAATAGCTGTATACTTATTTTTAATCTCTACTTAATTTTGGTGGAATTGAATAAAATCTGCTTGAGAACAGGTGACTCATTTAGAGTTGGAGAAAATGACAAAAGTCGTGGTAAGGTTTATCTGAAATTAATGCCAGACTTCGATCATTATTGTTTACTTTTCTAGTTTGCATTCTCTATGATGCATCATATTGTGCTAGTTTTTTTAATTAATCACTTTGAGCTGATACTGTCAGTCAGAATGTGGGAAGTGTTTCAAAATTTCAGTTAAGTGATTTGGGAAAAGAAGCATGTAATTTGTGTTTCAATGGAATAATAACATTACAGGGAAATTTCCTGTATGTATCCACTGGAGATTTTACATGGTTATTTTAACATGTATAGTGATTCATAGTGGTAATTTTATTACATCAGTATAAATATTTCTTCTCAAAATCCATTCCAGTAGTGTATTTTTAGTAAACATACCTACAGTGGTAAGCGAATGGTCCATACGTTTGCTATTCCTGGACATGACTCTTATTTACAACGGTAAATACTAATTCCAGTGAAAGGAATTAGTTGTAAAAGTAACTTCAGGAGATACAGGCAAGGGATTGAAATTAAATTGTGTTGTAGTAACAGAAATCAGTTCTTACAGATGTTAATTCTTCAAACGAATGTTCTTTTTGGAAGAAACTTCTAAAAATAAGACAGAATAGCAATAAAGTAATGACTGATATTGGTGATTATACTTTTAATAATAAAGTCCTGTTTTAAAGTTTGATTATTATCTTGCCTATTTATCTGTCTTAAACTTTGGAACAGTCGAAGATTGACTTGGTTCCCCGTATTATAGACTTTTTGTTTTAAGTTAATGTTGAGTAGTATTGAAGAAAAATCATTTTTTATTTTCTGTAAATGACCATTATGAGTTAGTCTTTGAGATGATTTGTTTGGCTGTGTAGGGAGGTATAGACTGATATTGACACAACCAGCTCTTGAGGTGTTTTTTTATAGGAGAATTCTAGCTAGGTGCATCTGTGTGGACTCATCTAGGATCTGTCTGTCTTGTTAAGGTGATCTGAATATGCTATGATTTCTTTTAAGTTTGGAAAATCAACTGGTGTGATAGACTATTAGCATTGTAGAGCTGAAAGAGTTTCTTCAATAAAGAGTAGGGGAGAGCAGGAGGGATGCAGGAGGATACATCGTTGCTTTCTCCTGTTCAGATTTCATAGAATCATAGAATGTCTGGGCTGGAAGGGACCTCCAAAGGTCATCTAGTCCAACTCCCCTGCAATAAGTAGGGACATCTCCAGCTAGATCAAGCTACTCAGAGCTTCATCCAGCCTGATCTTGAATGTCCCCAGGGATGGGGCCTCCACCACCTGTCTGGGTAACCTATTCCAGGGATCTGTCGCCCTCATACTGAAGAACTTTTTCCTAACGTCTAACCTAAATCTGCCCTTTTCTAGCTTAAAGCCCTTACCCCTCGTCTTGTCCCTACAAACCCTTGTGAATAGTCCCTCCCCTGCTTTCTTGTAGGCCCCTCTCAGGTACTGGAAGGTCGCTATTAGGTCCCCCTGGAGCCTCCTCTTCTCCAGGCTGAACAACCCCAACTGCCTCAGCCTGTCCTCACAGGAGAACTGCTCCAGTCCTCTGACTATTTTTGTGGCTCTCCGCTGAACACATTCCAACAGCTCCACGTCCTTCCTGTGCTGGGGGCTCCAGAGCTGGACACAGGACTCCAAGTGAGGTCTCACCAGGGCAGAGTAGAGGGGCAGGATCACCTCTCTCCATCTGCTGGCCACACTTCTTTTGATGCAGCCCAGGATTCGATTGGCAAATTTATACCATGACAAGCAGCCACTGCTTGCTTTGTACACTCTACTCCGCGTAATCAGCAAAACCCAGTTTATCACCATCTGAGTCTCTGTTTCAGCCAGCATCTTTCTCAGTAGAGTAAGAAAAGCATTGCAGCCTGCCTTGAAGGCAGTACATTTACACTTGGACAAACATGAAGGGAATGAATTTTAGAATCCAAACAGTCTTGGCAGATACCTCGTTAATCTCAGTTGTGTTTTACTGTTAAGTCTGGAACAGGCACAAGTATGTGTTCATGAGTATACTAGTACTGGGGTAATATATCCATCCTACTACTTTGCATGCAGTGACACACCGTGCTTGCAGAGAGAAAGAGGGAGGAATTTGTTAGAGCATTGATGTTTCTCATGGTCTTAACCAGTGCAGATGGAGAACAGATTTCTAGTTCTTTGAAATCTCTTCTATTACCCAAAAGTGAAAGGTAGACTTGAACAGAGTCAATAATTAATATGGAGTTAACACTGTAGTGTCTTATGTCTCTCAATTTCAAGTTTTGCAAAACTTAAATTTCTGAGAAATCCTGTATTGAAGCTTTCTGGGGCATACTTGCATGCTTTTGCTTCTGATGTATTTGAGCTGGAATCAGCCAGTTGGAATTGCCTTGACGCTGAGTGCAAGCACCTTAGTATCAAAAAGTAGGTCTGAGACCTGTGAAGGAGGCCATGTTCTTCCCACAGAAAGCCTGAATGTGCCACAGTTGCCCCTTGTGCAATGTATTTGAATTGTAGGGGTGCAGAAAGATGATGTAGGCTTAGACAAGGGCTTAGGTCTCTCTTCCCAGGTCTTGTTTGGGGCTGCATGGCAGCTTGCAAACGTACTTCCTTCCTGTTGCTTGGCATCTTCCACCTTCTCTCTTCTGACCCGTGTTCTGTGGAGTGATAGTGAGGAGATTCGGTTATCTAGACTCTTCTCCCTCACATTACCCTGGGAGGGACTGGGTGAGAGAAGATGGACCTCCTTTGAAGGAAAAGAGCATCCATGAGCTCACTCTGCATACTAATTGGACCAATGTTCTCCTCTTGCCCCAAAACCCACTTACTTTCCTCTTCTTCTATTACGGTTTCCCTGTTTGGGAGTCACCTAGTCCTTTGTTGCTTGTTACAGAACCTTGTCTTTTTTCTGGGCCCTTAACCTTCATTGTGTGTTTATCCTACTGTTGTTGTTCCACTGTACTCTGCTGCTTGGGCTACTCTCCTGGTGAGCACCCACCTATATAATCTTAATTCAAAAGTGAAAAAGCACAGTCTCTCCAGAGTTGTTCTACTTACTAATGAAAAATGAGCCTTAATTATTTGAGGGGAAATAAACGCCAGTGTCTTCAAGAGACTCTGAAATCTTGAGGCAGCTAAAGGAAGAGGTAGAACACTTGGTTGGCTTTCACCATTGCAGCTGAACTAGACATCTAGTGTGTCTTCAGACAGTGCTGAGGTTGGAGGCTTATGCGGTGCTTGTTGCAGACAAATGTTATATCAATTTATTATATTTATGGTAGTCGTTGTATGAACTGTTGTGTTCTGTTTCTACTGCTATGATACACATACACTGTCAAGTTTTATTGGGCTGTTTCGTAATGCCCTGTCCACAAAAGGTAGTGATACCGTGACAGCTGTATTGCCAGTGTTCAGTAATTAAAAGCCAGTTGTTTTCCTTTCTGTTCCAGGCCATTGATGAGCCTCCCTATCTCACAGTGGGCACTGATGTAAGTGCCAAGTACAGAGGAGCCTTCTGTGAAGCCAAGATCAAGACAGCAAAAAGACTTGTCAAAGTCAAGGTATGTGGTTTTCCTACAAACAACTTTTTTGGGGGAAGAAAAAAAAAGAGTCATTTATGTTCAAAATAGCACAATACAAAACTTCTTTATAGTCTGCAACACGGCGAAGAGGCTGTCCTTTCCTTGGAAGCTGGCAGTGCAGTCTTTGAAACTGGTAGGGGAGGAGTTCCCCCCACCCCCATGCCATTAAATATGTTCTGTTTCATTCACTGCTTTGTCATTTGCTTACATCCAGTATTTGTGGCCTTCAATGCCATAGGCTGACCTTAAAGTAATTGATCAAAATATGAAAAATATAGGCTTATGTGTGGGAGAAAGTTTTCAGAAAGTAGCTAAAACTCCTCAAAGTAGGTTTAAAATGGTTTCTTTTACTTTAGGAGCACAGGTCACTGCCATTTAGCAGTAGCAACTAGATAATGCTTCAGAAATAAGATGAAACCCTGCTGTCTTCCAAAAAAGCCTTGGCATATTGAGTCCTACAGAACAGCAAGCAAGAGAGCTTATCTATCTTTATGATGACTAGTTAGTAACTGAATGAATCAATATAAGCTATATGCAGCACAAATAGAAATTGTGGCAAGGGAATACAAGAGAGATATTTTAACATCCCTTGGAAATTTAAAGTATCATTTCTAGAAATAAAAAGAACAAAGTCTGGCCTTGTTTTTATTATATAGTAAGCTTGTGCTGCAAAATGGGCTTATATTTCTGTTTGGATAATGCCCTAAAAGCTTCTAATATGGGAGCAGGTGCTATTTTCTGCTCTGCCTCTTAACCTCACACAGAAATGTAACAGAGCAAGGATCAAAAGCACTTAGGAAAAATAAATTAGATTGTTGCTCTGCAACAGTTACAGTGGCAGAATATTTTTCACTTGCATCTACTGTAAATATAAGTGAAAATTATAAGTGGTGATAACCTGTTATAGAAGGGCTACCATTATAAACTGTCATGCGTTGCTTGAATCTGCCCTTATGCTATGGTTGTTTTTTTGCCTGTAGTATGTATCAGGGAGAGAGCACTCTATCTCCAAAAGCCTTGGTGGGAAGAATTGTTGTCACTTATTTGATAAAAATGTTAACTGTAATGAGAAGATATTAGTCTTAAATCTGTCATCTTTAAAAAGCCTTTAGAGCAAATGAGTGGTCTTTTCATTTCATTAGTCATAACTCCTAACAGCATCAGCTGGTCTCTTGCTTTACTGCACCATTGAGTTTAAGTGACTGAGTATTGGTGTTTAAACTGTTAAGTATCAGTTTGTATTGCGTCTAGATCAGAGAAACCTTAACTCCTTTCAGCTCTTTAGAGGGCTTTTAGCCCATCTTCTTAGAAGGTAACTTGCACTTAAAGTTGTTTTTCACTGATAAATATTTTCTTATGGATTTATTATTTGTAATTTGGTCATTACAAGGTTTTTGCACAGAGATCTTGAAATGGAATAGAGTTGTTGCTCTTAATTTTTTTGTGGAGGCTGTGCCTAAAGCCCTGTGTGTTGAAGTCTGTGTGTGTGTCTTCACTGTTACTGCATAGCTTAGGACAGTGAAGCCCCAGTACTGTTGTTGCTTTGTAAAGTAATTTTATTTGTGGTTGAGCATTTTTTTCTTGTGTGAGTGCAGTAACAATACCTTTTTACATGTTGGTGTTTCTGTTTTTTTTTTTTTCCCCCACTAGGAATGTATAATCCCTAAACTTAACAGTGATCCCTTGATTTTCTCTAAAAACCTTTTCATCTCTTTCTGGCATATGCAGATTTTCCCCAGTGTTACCTCTAAACAGGATTCTTATTATCAGGTGCACTTTGTCTGGAATTCTGGTGGTTTATCTACTATGTATTTTTTTCACCTGTCTAACAATTTCTTCTGGCCCTGGTGTATTTTATGCCCTATTCACCTAGGACTACTAGAGGAAAAGGAAAGTCAATTCACTTCCTAACATCAGTTTTAGTTTGAAGTTTTCATTTAAGTTTTATAACTAGATGCTCTGTTGAGAAAGGAAGATAGCAACAATATTTTTTTTTTCAATATGAAGTATGTAATCTTCAGGCAAGTAAAGTATATTTAATTGCATCTTCTTTTACCTGCTTTCTTCTGTCAGATTCTGCTTTTTAGACTATTTTGAAGTATACTTTTGTAATAGCTTTTCCATCACCAGTATAATTTAATAACTTCATTCGGTTTTATGGCAGTGCTACGTATTTATAATTTCAGTATCCATAGGTACTGTATTTCACTGGATTGGCAGTCTTTGCCAGATTCTGTGCATGGTACAGAATTTTACGTTAACGGTATAACTGCATTGCACACTTTGTCATGGAAAGAAGTAAGACTTAATATTTGCCTGGACTTGTGAAAAGTGTTGTAGAAAGTACATATTTGAGGAAAACTCAAGAGTTTTGGTGTTAGAAGAGTGGTAGTCCACTTCATCTTCATAAGATATGTTATAGCTTTCTTAGCTATTTAAGCCCATTTATTTTGACATTGTCTCCTGAAACGAATAGGACCATCATCCACATCCACTTGTGTTTGGGCACCCTCCACAGAAGTTTCAGAAAAGTGTTGGCATGTGTGGGGTCTTCATTAAACAGAACTAAGTGAAGCATCTGCTTTATAGAGCCTAGAGGATGGTGAAGAAAAGGGAGATGCCGGCTGAGTCTAAACAGGTTGATAACATGCTGAATGTCTTAATCTTTTGCCTGAGAAGGAAAGGGTCCATGCTGACGAATGCTATGGGAGTTAAAACCCACACTAACAAATACTGACATCACTTTTCTCAGCTTCAAGAAAGGTTGGTGGTGTCACACTGAGTTTGGAGTTCGAATATTTCTGTCAATAACCAGTATTTTTGGAGTATGTATTAATATCTCAAGAAGCAAAAACTCTTGATATCAAAAAACTTGTCTTGGGGCTTTGAGTCTTTCTGCAGACATCTTTAAAAAGAAAGCCCATTCTGGAATACACAATATCAATTTGCTTTGTTTACCTTTCATCATAGTAGTACATTGTGGCTGGGCTTGTGGTTTTGCATAGTGATCCTTTTTGCTGTAAAATACATTTAAGATAATTACATAAAGTAAATAAAACCAGATGTCTCTAAATAAGAATTGATATTCTAGATATTTCATATGAGCCAATACTGAACACAGGTTTCTGATTATTTTGCATCTGAATGGAACTTTTGGTTTCGAGATAAATCCCCCAAAAGGGAGGAATAAATACCTATATTTGTCAGGCAGAAGTTCACAAGGGTAGTCTTTTGCTCAGTTCTTAGTTTGAATCCATTGTCTGGCTTTCAGGTTACAAAGTATGAGTTTTGTCTGTCTGTTGGACAGGATTTGCCATCAGTGAGTGGGATGATGCAGCTCTAAAAAGAACATACTTGCACAGCAGTATGTACTGCTGTGGTTCTAACAGAAGATGGACAAGATGACTGTTTCATGAAGCAGCACCTGGAAAGGCAGTATTTAGTCCATTTTAGCACATTTGTTTTCTAATCAGGCAGTCGAAGTGGGCTCTCCTTGGTCCTGGTTGTAGATGCTGTTCTCAGCTGTTTGCTCCTTTCGGGGTTTACAGAACTCCTTAAACTCCTCCTGAGGACACTAAGTAGGAAAATTGGTGTTACAAAATGTTGTTCTGAACGTTGTGTGCTAAGGAGAAACTCTCAAGAACAGTGAGGACATAACCTTGGGTACACTTGTGAACCAAGTCCTTGAGTTTAATGTAGAATTCCTTTAGTTGAGAGTTACTATTACATGGCTGAATCTCATGTTACATTCTTACTTATTGTGAATACTAAGTAAGACAACATATACTTAAAACAAGTATGTGTGTTCTGGTGAACATTAGAACATCATCTCTGTGTGTTAATAACATACATAAAATGTAATTTTTCATTTTCCCAGTTTCCTTGAATTCTAAAGCCATAGTGGAATAAAACTTCAAGTGTAAGTGATAGGATCCTGTGACTTTCAGCATGACCAGGTTAATTTTCAGTGAAATGAATGGTGAATATCTGTAGCATTGGATACAGATAACTTAGGAATAAGTTTGAACTTTCAGACCTTTTTTTTTTTTTCCTGAGGACAGCATATGTACAAGACACACAGCCAATGACATGGGGAAAATACTTGAAAATACTTACAGGTTTTGCTTACTTTAGTTTTGAAAGACTGAAAAGCAACTGTGTGTGCATTTACTTCCAGTTAACTAGCAAGGTGCAGGGTAGGCTGACAGGAACGGAAAGGCTATTTGAGTGGTTCATTTTGTTCAGCTGGCAGCAATGTCCTGTACTTTTTTGGTGTGAGTCCTTCAAAAGTGAGTGAGGGAAATAGGCTTTAATAGGCTGAAAAAAACCTGTCAAACCCCACGATATGGGGTTAGATATAGGTGCTAAAACTGTTTGATTTCAGAGCACTGAAGTATAAATGTTTCTTAAAAATTGTTTATGTTCAGAACTCTTGAAACTTCATTCTTTCTTTGTGAGATTCTAGAACAGGACAATTCAAATAATTAGGAGAACAGCACAGATAATTTTGAATCATTAAACATTGTTAGTAAACTGTTGTATCTCACTTCCTTTAGAGGTAGTGGTTCTATTCTGAAAGGTAAAAAATACTTCAGAAGTTTTGATGACTGAGAAATTGTCTCCTCATATTTCTAAAATACATGAATGGAAGAGTTTTCAGCAAGTGGAGTGATTATGGTGACTAACTGTCAGATGAGAATAAGAGAAGGGCTATTGACTTCTGCAATGTGCTTATGCTGCTCAATTGTATCAAGTGACTGTCAGTTGAATTATATTTTTTAGGTAACTTTCAGACATGATTCTTCAACAGTGGAAGTACAGGATGATCACATAAAAGGTCCCTTAAAGGTAATGAATTTGGTTTATATTTTGCTAACACTTTGAAAAGTGTTCTTTTGCAGTATTTGACATAAATGTGTATATGCAGTATGGGGTCAAAGTAGAAGGTTCTGTTTATTGCATGGTTCAGATAGGATCACAAAGCATAAAAGGTAATGCTGCAAAACTAGAGTTAACATACTCTTCATGTTAACCTCTCTTCTTTGTAGTTAAAGGGGATGCAGCATACAGGCTGATGCAAGCCTCTTTGTTCTTTTTGGACTTAAAGCTAAGAAGTTTGGCTGGCTCAGATTGTTAGTGACTGTTGCTGTGGAAAACTCAGCTGGAGGATTTCATGGGCAAGCTCTTATACAAGAGAATGACATCACTCAAATTGGTTCTTGTTCCCCACCTGCTGGCAGGAAATAATCAGCTCAGCTAGTTAGTTTATCTTAGAGGAATGAAATGAAAGAAAGAAGTTTTGAGGTATACAAATGTATTGAGGTGAAACAGGAATGGTATGGTGTATTTACTAGAAATAGGCTAGAAATAACTGTTTGCTGAATACAAAAATATTAACTTCTTTGCCTTCTTTAGAAACTCTCCAGTGCTAACTGGCTTCTGTATTTTAGGTAGGAACTGTTGTGGAAGTGAAGAATCCAGATGGAACATACCAGGAAGCAGTTATCAACAAATTGACAGATGCAAGTTGGTACACTGTAGGTAAGGGAAATAGTTATGTATTTGAATAAAATTCATGACTTCAAAATAAGCCTGTGACCTGAACATGTCTTAAGCATGGTGAGAATGAATACCTAAGAACCTCAAAAAAAGTCTTCTTGACTGATACAGCTGATACAAGTCTTCTTCGCCCTTTCCCCCC